GAAAGGCTGGCTGTTTCCAATATAGCTTAACCCCTCCCCCTCCAGAGGATTTCCCCCCCTTCCTGACCAGGCCATTTTTTGCCATACTGTGCTGCATTACTTTAAGTGACAATTGCGCAGTCATGCAACGCTGCACCCAAATTAAATTTACGTCCTTTTTTTCCCACAAATGGAGCTTTCTTTCGGTGGTATTTGATCGCCTGAGCGTTTTTTTATTTTTTGCGCTATAAAAAAAAAGACCAACAAATTTGAAAAAAAACAAAACAATATTTTTTACTTTTTGCTATTAAACATGTCCAGTAAAAAAAAAATACTCTGTGTCTTTGCTAAAAAAAAATCCCAATACGTGTAAATGAACTGGTTTACCTGAAAGTTATAGTGTTTACAATTGGCGGTATATATACTGAGCTTTTTGTTTTTTAATTTTTACTAATAATGGTCGCGATCAGTGACTTATTGCAAGACTACGGTGGGCATTCTGACACTGGGGGGGAACTGATTTGGTGCCACTGACATCCCCAGTGACACCAATACAGTGATTAGTGCTAATAAAAAGCACTGACACTGTACTAATGGCACTAGGCAGGAAGGGGTTAACATGTGGGGCGATCAAAGGGTTAACTGTGTGCTGTGTGTTTTACATGATGTTCTGGGTGTGTTTCACTGTATTTATTTATTTCAGGTACTTGTATAGTGCCATCAATTTACGCAGTGCTTTACATATATATTGCACATTCACATCAGTCCCTAACCCTCAAGGGGCGTACAATCTAAGGTCCCTAACTTACATTCATACATACACATACTAGGGCCAATTTAGACAGACGCCTATTAACCGCTTCCAGTCCGGACACTTTCCCCTCTTCCTGTCCAGGCCAATTTTTAGCTTTCAGTGCTATCACACTTTGAATGACAATTGCGCGGTCATGCAACACTGTACCCATATGAATTTTTTAGCATTTTTTTGAGACAGATAAAACTTTATTTTGGTGGTATTTATTCACAGCTGGGATTTTTTATTTTTTTTTGCTATGTAAATGAAAATGTCCAAAAATTTGGAAAAAAAGTGTTTTTCTTATAAAAGTTTGCAAATAAATATTTCATCATAAATCTTGGCCAAAAGGTATTCAGTTATGTTTTTAGTAAAAAGAAAAAAAAAATAACCCAAATTAGTTTATAACATAAAATTATAATTTTTTGCATTTTTTTAATATTTTTATTTTTTTATATTATTATGCTGTTTTTTTTTACTTACTGTCACCCTAGCAGTACAGTGTCACCATGATGACACTGTACTACTTGTGGGGGGTGATGAAGATTTTTTTTTTTTTTTACACTGATTGCTTTTACACCCATAAAGGCTGTAAAAGCAATAATTTCACCTTCTCTCTGGCTGCATTTTTGCAGCCATTGAGAAATACTGTGTGAGCTGTGATTGCTTAGAGCTTGTCACATGGTACAAGGCTGTTGTGAATAGCCCTGTACCATGTGATATCTGTGATCATTCACAGATTTTGCGCGTAGTAAGCAATGATGTCAGAAGTGACATCTTGCTTACTACTCTGCATGTGATCACTGATTGGCCATTCAGTGATCACATGATTGGGACCGCACACAGAGGTCCCGTACGACGATCGGTGTTCCACTGTGTCCCAGGGACCGCGCACAAGCAGGGGCGGGGAGGCCATTTATAAACGGCCACCTGCCTCTGCACTGCCACCATCTAGCCGTCTATATACAATGGCCAGATGGGAGGTGGTTAACCTACCAGCATGTCTTTGGAGTGTGGGAGGAAACCGGAGTACCTGGAGGAAACCCACGGAGGCACAGGGAGAGAATATGCAAACGCCAGGCAGGTGGTGCCGTTGGGCACACTGCTGTGCAGAGCCATAAAAAAAAAAGCAGTGTGCAGGAGCTGACAGGGAGAAACTGTTTTGTTTACTAACAGTCCTCCCCCCCATCGGAGATCCTCAGCAATCACCAGCACCAGCGAGTAAAAACCGACCAGGACCCGGTGATTGAAAGCCGTAGCTGCGAATGCCGGCGCGGGTAGAGCGCGCGCCCCCTACGTGGAACTGCAAAATCACATATATATACAGTTGTGTTCAAAATAATAGCAGTGTGTTGAAAAAAGTGAATAAAGCTCAAAATCCTTCTAATAGCTTTTATTTCCATACACACAAATGCATTGGGAACACTACACATTCTATTCCAAATCAAAACATGAAGAAAAATATATCAAATTTGTGTTGTTCCTCTAAAAAAATTGAAGAAAAGTGAATATTAGACTGTTCAAAAAAATAGCAGTGTTTGTATTCTTCTTTACAAACTCAAATATTCACTATATAAACTGAAAAATGTTTGAAGGTTTTGCTTTCCTTTGAATCACTTAATGAATATTTAGTTGTACAACCACTGTTTCTGAGAACTGCTGTACATCTCTGTTGCATGGAGTCAACCAATTTCTGGCACCTGTGAACAGGTATTCCAGCCCAGGATGATTGGACTACATTCCACAGTTCTTCTCTATTTCTTGGTTTTGCCTCAGAAACTGCATTTTTGATGTCACCCCACATGTTTTCTATTGGATTAAGATCCGGGGATTTGGCTGGCCACTCCATAACGTCAATCTTGTTGGTCTGGAACCAAGATGTTGCATGTTTACTGGTGTGTTTGGGGTCGTTGTCTTGTTGGAACACCCATTTCAAGGGCATTTCCTCTTCAGCATAAGGCAGCATGACCTCTTCAAGTATTCTGATGTATTCAAACTGATCCATGATCCCTGGTATGCGATAAATAGGCCCAACACCGTAGTATGAGAAACATCCCCATATCATGATGCTTGCGCAACCATGCTTCACTGTCTTCACAGTGTACTGTGGCTTGAATTCAGTGTTTGGGGGTCGTCTGACAAACTGTCTCCGGCCACTAGACCCAAAAAGAACAATCTTACTTTCATCAGTCCGCAAAATGTTGCGCCATTTCTCTTTAGGCCAGTCAATGTGCTCTTTGGCAAATTGTAACCTCTTCAGCACGTCTTTTTTTCAACAGTGGGACTTTGCGGGGGCTTCTTGCAGATAGCTTGGCTTCACATAGGCGTCTTCTCATTGTAACAGTACTCACAGGTAACTTTACACCTTCTTTGATCTTCCTGGAGCTGATTGTTGGCTGAGTCCTTGCCATTTTGGCTATTCTGCTATCCATTCGAATGGTAGTTTTTCACTTTCTTCCACGTCTTTCAGGTTTTGGTTGCCATTTTAAAGCATTTGCGATCATTTTAGCTGAGCAGCCTATCATTTTCTGCACTTCTTTATATGTTTTCCCCTCTCCAATCAACTTTTTAATCAAGGTACGCTGTTCTTCTGAACAATGTCTGGAATGACCCATTTTCCTCAGAATTTCAGAGAGAAATGCACTGTAACCAGCATGTACAACAATTGCTGCCTTCCTTCCTTAAATAAGGGCAATAATTGCCACCTGTTTTTCAAAGAATGAATGACCTCACTAATAGAACTCCACACTGCTATTATTTTGAACATGCCCCTTTCAATTAGTGATTCAATTACACAGAATCAGCAGCATGCATGTCATGACTGTTGGGTCTGTTGGATTTCTATTACTCTACTACACCTGCTAGTAAATTATTTGCCATGTAGGAATATCATTTCTACCAAAAACAGTGATTGATCAGGTTAGTGATGTCTGACTGCTATTATTTTGAACACAGCTGTATACCCAACAAGGATCAGCAATGTACTGGTACATCACTGGACTTTGAATGGTTATACCAGGATTATGCCTACAGCTGCAGGCATCATCCTGGTATCATTTTTTTCAGCCGGCGATCAGCTTTCATATAAAGGCAATTTTAGTGGCTAATTAGCTGCAGGATTGCTTCTACAAGCAGTGGGAGATGATGCCCCCCCCTCCCCCCCGCTGCCTTCCACGGACTTCTCGAGCAGGGAACCTGAGAATGCAGCAGGTGTTTCTCCCCGCAGCTGACCATAAAGCTGATTGGAGACCAGAGTGGTGCCAATCATCTCTATAGCCTAAGAAATCAGAAGCTACGAGCATTTCATCACTTCAGTTTTTCAGTTTTGCAGGATATAAACAGCGCCATTTGTAAATTGGGAAAGCATCTGATCACAACGATTTTGGTTTGATTAGGAAATGTAAGGGAAGAGGAGATATCTAAAGTCTGATAGACCCCACATTTCTAAAAAGAACATATGACAATGCCCATTGAAGTTATAGGGGACATTTGCATTCCCTGTGAAAGCATTAAAAGTGATAAAAAATAATAAAAAAATCAAAATAACTTAAAAAAAAAAACCTCACCCCTCCCATGCACGCACACCTGTGTGCACAAGCCTTGACCCTGTGCCGGTATGTAAACAGCAGTTGCGCCATACATGTGAGGTATCACTGTGAACGCCAGTTCAAGGGCAGTAATTCCAACACTAGACCTCCTCTGTAAATCTAAAATGGTAGTTTTTAAAGGCTTTTAAATCGTTGTCTATGGATATTAAGAATGTATGCAGTTTGTTGCCATTGCACGGGGCATGCACAGTTTTAATGCATGTCATGTTTGGTATCTATTTACTCGGCATACCATCTTCTTTTATATTTTACCAAATAATTGGCCAATATATTGTGTTTTTGTGCATTAAAAGTAAAAAAAATTTTTTTTTTTTTTTTTAAATTGCTTTTGAAAAATCAATGCGCGAGTACTATGTGCCATAAAATATTGTAGTACCCACCATTTTATTCACTAGGGTGTCTGCTTTAAAAAAAATATATAATATTTGGGGGTTTAAGTTAACTACTTGCCAACCGCAGATAGCCGAATGACGGCTACACTGCGGCCGGCCAGTTCTGGGAGGGCGTCATATGACGTCCTCCCAGAACGCGCTCTCCTGCGTGCCCCCGGGGCGCGCACCCAGTGATCTCCGTGATCGCTGTGTCCTACGGACACAGCTGATCATGTGATGTAGTATAACGCCAATCACAGCGGCCTTTTACCACGTGATCAGCCGTGTCCAATGACACGCTGATCACCGGGAAATGCAATTGCCGGTTCTCGGCTGTATTTTCCTCACGCTGTCAGAGTGTGAGGAAAGTACTGCCGAAAACTGGCAGTTGTCAGAGCAGGGATCGGCACCGATCATGAGGGCACTGATGATCAGTGCCCTGATGATCGGTGCCCAGCAGTGCCACCCACCAGTTCCGCCCACCTGTGCCCAGCAGTGCGCCCACCTGTGCCTAGCAGTGCACCCTCCTGTGCCATTCAGCAGTGCCACCTACCTGTGCCCACCAGTGCCACCCACCTGTGCCCATCAGTGCAGCCCAGCAGTGCTGCCAGTCAGTGCCCAGTGGTTGTGCCAGTCAGTGCCCAGCAGTTTTGCCAGTCAGTGCCTAGCAGTGATGCCAGTCAGTGCCACCTATCAGTGCTGTCTATCAGTGCCACCTATCAGTGCCGCCTATCCGTGACACCTCATTAGTGCTGCCTATCAGTGCCGCCTATCAGTGCTGCCTATCAGTGCCCATCAGTGCTGCCTCATCAACGCACATCAGTGAAGGAGAAAAATTACCTGTTTGAAAAATTTTATAATAGAAACAAAGAAACTTTTTTTTTTCAAATTTTTTCCACTTTTTTTTGTTTATAGCGCAAAAAGTAAAGTGCCCAGCGGCGATTAAATACCACCAAAAGACAGCTCTATTTGTGAGAAAAAATGTAAAAATTTCATATGGGTACAATATTGCATGACCGCACAATTGTCAGTCAAAGTGCGACAGCGCTGAAAGCTGAAAATTGGCCTAGGCAGGAAGGGGGTAGAAGTGCCCAGTAGGCAAGTGGTTAATTTCCTAGCAAAAATACAGATTTTTTTCATGTGAACAAAAAGTGTCAGAAAAGGCTTGATCTTCAGGTGGTTAGAAGAGTGAGTGATGTGTGGCATAAACTTCTAATGCTGGGCATAAAACGCCCCCACCCCCCAAAACGACCCATTTTTGGAAAGTAGACACCCCAAGCTATTTGCTGAGAGGCATGTTGAATCAATAGAAGAATTAATTTTTTTCCCACAAGTTTTTGGAAAATGACAAAAAAAATTTTTTTTTTTTACACAAAATTGTCACTTAAATGATTTACTGCTCACACATGCCATGGGTATATGTGGAATTACTCCCCAAAATACATTCTGCTACTTCTCCCCGAGTATGGTGGTACCACAAGTGAGAGACGTTTTGGCAGTCTAGCCAAGTATAGGACCCCATAATCCAATAAGCACCATCAGGCTTTTAAAGGGCTTTATTTCCTCATTACACTTCCAGACTACCTATCACAGTTTCGGAGGCCCTGAAATGCCAGGATAGCACCTAACCCCCCCAAATGACCCCTTTTTGGAAAGTAGACACCTCAAGGAATTTGATAAGAAGCATGGTAAGTATTTTTCAGATCTCATTTATTGCCACAAGTTTTTGGAAAATGAAGAAAAAAAACAAAAACATATTTTTTCTATTCTTTTTTTATATTTCATAACCTTGTGAGAAAAAATGAGACCTGCAAAGTACTTACCATACCTCTTTTTCCTTGGGGCATCTACTTTCCAGAAAGGGGTCATTTTGGGGGGGGGGGGGGGGGGGTTGGCATATCAGGGCCTTCGAAACTGTGATAGGTAGTGAGGAAGTGAAATGAGGAAGTTACGCACCTTCAGGCTATGAAAGTGGTCATTGGATTTCAGGCTCCTGTATGTGGCTAAGCTCCCAAAAAGTCTCACACATGTGGTATCCCCATACTCTGTAGAAGTAGCAGAATGTATTTTGGGGTGTAATTCCACATATACCCATAGCTTGTGCGAGAAATAAATAATTTAAATGACAACTTTGTGTGTAAAAAAAAAATAAATAAAAAATGTTTTGCTTTCCAAAAAGGGGTCATTTGAGGGTGTTTGTACTATCCTGGTATTTTAGCACCTCAAGAAATGTGATGAGCAGTCAGAAAGTAAAAGCTGTGTAAATTCCATTATCTATACCGTAGTTTGTAGATGCTATAACTTTCACTCAAAGCAATAAATAAATAAAAACATGTAGCAGAATACATTTTGGCCTAAATTTATGACAAAAATTTTAGTTTTTTTTGGATATTTTTTTATGACCGAAATGAGAAAATATTTGTTTTTTTTCAAAAAATGTTTTTTTCTTCAAAAATGTTTTTGTTTATAGTGCCAAAAAATAAAAAGTGCACAGGTGATCAAATACCACCAAAAGAAAGCTCTATTTGTGTTAAAAAAGGACATAAATTTCATTTATGTACTGTATTGCATGACCGTGCTATTGTCCGTTAAACTAGCACAGCGCTGTATAGCAAAAAAATGGTGTAAATTACAGTATCTATACCATAGTTTGTAGATGCTATAACTTTCACACAAAGCAATCAATATACACTTATTGGGTTATTTTTTACCAAAAACATGCATGCAGCAGAATACATTTTGGCCTAAATTTATAACTAACTTTGAGTTTACTATATATTTTTTATAGCTGAAAGTAAAAAATATAATTTGTCTTCAAAATGTTTGGACTTTTTTTGTTTATAGCGTGAAAAATAAAAAGCACACAGGTAATCAAATACCACTGAAAGAAAGCTCTATTTGTGTGAAAAATAGGACGTATATTTCGTTTGCGTGCAGCATTGCATGACCGCGCAATTATCAGTTGAATTAGTGCAGCGCTGAGTAGCAAAAAGAGGCCTGGTCAGGAAGGGGGGTAAATCCTCAGGAGGGCAAGTGGTTATGTACCATCTCTATGTTGATGACACACAAATCTATCTTTCTACTCCTCACCTCACCCCTTCAGTCTCCTCTCGCATTACTAACCTGCTAAGTGACATATCGGCATGGATGTCACTCCACTTCCTCAAACTCAATCTTTCTAAAACTGAGCTCTTAGTATTCCCTCCAGCCCGTGCCCCCTCCCCTGACTTCTCCATCAAGATCAATAACACAATCATCAGTCCCTCCCTCATGCCAGGGTACTAGGTGTAATCCTAGACTCCCATCTGTCCTTTCACCCCCAAATCCAATCACTGTCCAAATCTTGTAGACTTCACCTCCGCAACATCTCCAAGATACGGCCATTCTTAACCACTAAGCCACTTATTCACTCCCTTGTTATATCTCGCCTCGACTATTGTAACTCCCACCTCATTGGCCTACCTAATCACAGGCTATCCCCTCTTCAGTCTATCATGAATGCTGCTGCCAGACTCATCCACCTTACTAACTGTTCTGTATCTGCCACCCCTCTCTGCCAATCCCTCCGCTGGCTTCCCATTGCCCAACGGATACAATTCAAAACAATAATAATATATAAAGCCATTTATAACTCTGCCCCAAATTACATCACCAATCTTGTCTCCAAATATCACCCAAACCGTACTCTCCGCTCCTCGCAAGACCTCCTACTCTCTAGCTCCCTCGTCTCCTCCTCCCATGCTCATCTCCAGGACTTCTCCAGAGCTTCCCCCATCCTCTGGAACTCTCTACCCCAATTTATCAGACTATCACCTACTCTGCTCACTTTTAGGCGATCTCTGAAAACCTATCTCTCCAGGGAGGACTATCCTGCCCTCAGCTAATAATGGAATCTTCTACTCTTCCAACCAGTCCATCCCCCACAGTTACTACCTTTTGTGCCACTAGACCCTCCCTCCTAGATTGTAAGCTCCAAGGAGCAGGCCCTCTAATCCCTTTTGTATTGAACTGTATTGTTGCTGTATTGTCTCCCGTTATATTGTAAATCGCTGAGCAAACTGTTGGCGATATATAAATCCTGTATAATAATATTAATGATAATAATAAATGCATGTCACTGCCTGCTGGCCTCCTCTCGGCCGTCTTCCATCATTAGAAACGTTTCAAAAGCCTTCTAGACTTCGGCCGCTAGAGGTCAGCATAGCACACGAGCTGAGGAGCTGCTGCGCGCTCTCGCTCTCTACTATGACGAGCCTTTATCTGCTGTTCCTGAGACTTCCTCTCATGACAGGAAGTGACCTTAGCAGTGAGGAGAGCGTCTCCTTGACAACTGTGTCACGCTTCTTCTAGGACTGTCTATTGTGTCAGGTAACATTTCACGTTTCTGTGCTTTTCATTTCTCTTTTTGTAGAGTAGTATTATACTTGATGCGAATGAGAATGTTCTGGAACTTTGTTTAAATAGTATTGGAGATAGGACCTTCCATGAGAGGATATGGGGCTGCCATTGTTCACCCGACTGCCAATGTTAGTTGCTTGGCTCTGACACTGACCCGCTGCCTTCAGTAGCTTAACCCCGTGCCTAGCCATGTGACATTTTTACCGTTTTCTGAGACAGCTTTCTCTTGGTGGTGTTTTGGTACTTTTTGCTAAACAATCGGAAAAAAATGTTTTTCTTAGTTTTTGTTATTTTGCAAATAAGTAATTTTTTTCTGCTGCACTGATAGGCACTGATAGGCATCAGTGATAGGCTGAACTGATGAGGAGGCACTGATATGGGCTGAACTGATGAGGAGGCACTGATAGGTGGAACTGATGAGGAGGCACTGATGGGCACTGATAGGCATCAGTGATAGGCTGAACTGATGAGGAGGCACTGATGGGCACTGATAGGCATCAGTGATAGGCTGAACTGATGAGGAGGCACTGATGGGCACTGATAGGCATCAGTGATAGGCTGAACTGATGAGGAGGGCACTGATGGGCACTGATAGGCATCAGTGATAGGCTGAACTGATGAGGAGGCACTGATGGGCGGAACTGATGAGGATGCACTGATGGGCGGAACTGATGAGGATGCACTGATGGGCGGAACTGATGACTGCACTGATGGGCGGAACTGATGAGGATGCACTGATGGGCGGAACTGATGAGGATGCACTGATGGGCGAAACTGATGAGGAGGCACTGATGGGCGGAACTGATGATGAGGACTGATGAGGCACTGATAGGGTGGAACTGATGAGGAGGCACTAATGGGCGGAACTGAAGAGGAGGCACTGATGGGCGGAACTGATGAGAGGCACTGATGGGCGGAACTGATGAGGAGGCACTGATGGGCGGAACTGAAGAGGAGGCACTGATGGGCGGAACTGAAGAGGGGCGGAACTGAAGAGGAGGCACTGATGGGCGGAACTGAAGAGGAGGCACTGATGGGCGGAACTGAAGAGGAGGCACTGATGGGCGGAACTGAAGAGGAGGCACTGATGGGCGGCTGGAACTGATGGGCGGAAGAAGGAGGCACTGATGGGCGGAACTGAAGAGGAGGCACTGATGGGCGGAACTGAAGAGGAGGCACTGATTGGCGGAAAATGAGGAGGCACTGATAGGCGGAACTGATGAGGTGGCACTGATGGGCGGAACTGATGAGATGGCACTGATGGGCGGAACTGATGAGGAGGCACGGAACTGAGAGGAGGCACTGATGGGCGGAAAAAAGATGAGGAACAGATGAGGATGCACTGAGGCGGAACTGATGAGGTGGCACTGATGGGCGGAACTGATGAGGTGGCACTGATGGGGAACTGATGAGGAGGTACTGATGGGCGGAGCTGATGAGGAGGCACTGATGGGCGGAGCTGATGAGGAGGCACTGAGAATGAGGTGGCACTGATGGGCGGAACTGATGAGGTGGCA